GTACTGAAAAAGACAGACAGTACTGTTCATTTTGTTTCTTCTAGTTTCTAAGCCATCTGCTGGCAATAAAATAATTACAGAAAATAAGTGTGAAATGTGAGAAGTGTAAACTCTAACCATAAAGACTTTAAATTTTGTGAACAATACTATACATTTTATTTTGCATTTGCAACCTTTATTTTCATTATACTTTGATTACTTACCTACAACCTGGAGAATCAAGTATAATATTACAGTAAAGAAAATAACAGATATAATATAAAGCTTTGCTGAAAATAAAAATGTTTTATATTTAATTATGAGGTTTTTTATTTTTCATGTTTTCACTATTTATTATTATAAAAGTAACTAAAATGTAAAAAATAGAAATTTACATGTTAAGATAATGAAAGAAAAATAATAAAAATATTCATGGGGTATACACGCCAGCAGCTTGTGTGTTATACTATTCCATAAGGTAACGTGAGCTACATGTGCTCCATGTAATTTTCAACTTGTGTTGGGTATTTTTAGTCAGACACAGTTCAAAGGTCAATAAAACAAAAATTAATAAATATAAATGGATGTATACTGTTATGAGATTTAAGCTATTTAGAATAAACATTTGTGATTTCCTGTTATAATTTGCAGTTATTCTAAAACAACAAAAAAAAGGTAATTTATATTTATTTCCTAATTTTAATGATGGTTATGAGGTCAGTCAAATTGACCAACACTATATAGAGCTAGCAATGATAAAATAACAGATTAAATATAAAGTTTTATTCAAAATAACGCTTGATGATTACCTAGAAGGATATATAGAGATTACAATTTTTAGATAAAGAAAAGTATTTTTAATCTTAAAATCAAAATTACTTTGCACGTTGGATAGTAAGCATTCTGAAAGAAAAATTCATGAGCAAATCTTTAATAAAAAAAATCTTAGTACTTAATTTAAAAGCCTCAAATTTTGTGCATGAAAGCCTTGTAATGTTTACCAATAATCAGCAAAATATTGTAACGATATTCATACATTATAAAAAATTATAGTATAATTACTCTCATGGATACTTTCGCAGTTACGAGCTGGGTGGATCCAACTCAGCCCATATTGGCAGGGTTAAAATCTTTTTAAGAATAAGACAAATCTGCCAATCAAGTGAGGGACAGAGAGAGTGATGAATGGATTCTAAACTACCAGGTAAAGAACTTTTTAAACTGTTAATACTACATTTTTGTACAAGTTAAATAGTTTTGTCCCTGCATTACAAAATTCTGAACTCACTATATTTAAATACACACACAAATGTTTGGAAAAAATAAACAATGAAAAAAAGCAAACATAATGTACAATTTAACCAAGAGTAGGAAAGATAAAGAACTGACATAAAGATGAATATATGTTTTGAATTAACCCCAGCTGAGGAAGTTGTCCAATATCTGTAGAACCTATCATTTTAATACACCACTCAGCTTGAAGAAAGGTAACTGGAACATCATCAAATACATTACCTGCCTGGAAACTTATATAAATAAAGGACATGAACACCAACTTCAGGTACAGGTTCACAACAACTGCTATGCAATGCAGTCCAACAGATGGCTAACTAACAAAGGAAATATGCAATTAGAACATAAAGCAAGAAAGGATGAGTCTTGGAGAAAGTACCTAAACCTGATTAGACTCAAAATCTATAAAAATACATAAGCAGCTGAGGTTAAATCAGATGTCTAAGCAAATGCACAAGAACACAAGTAATGTGCAAGAAATGTAATGTTCTCTCCAACAAATCAAAAGAAGAGAATACTATTGATCATGCACTGAAAAGACAAGAGCAAAAAAGGGAGCTATTACAATCCCTGCCCATAGCAAGACAGATACGCAACATTAATATTAACTTAACCCATATTTCTCATATGAAATAATTGTTATAAAACAAAGAATTCAAAATACCTTCATCTTCTGAAGTTGTTTTAGATTAATTAGATATTTTTCTTCAGTGCTTTGATTTTTCAGTCTTAACGAGATCAACTCTCTTTCTAAAGATTTCCGTTTGTCCTCCACTTCAGCAAATAAAGAGTTTCCACGGCGATTAATGTCAGTTTGCTGCAGTTTTGTAAACTCAATTTCAGCTTGTTTTTCTACCAATTCTTCATTAGATTTCTAAAATGTAGAGCATAAAAATAATTTAGTAACATAATTTTTAATAGCTTAGAATTAAAGTTTTTACCCCTGAAATATTTTCCTCGTTGAATTGTTTTCATGTTAACATAACCTAATTTCTTAATTGCAGCGATGATAAAAAAAACACATATCCCCCAGTTGTGAAAGATAGATGGGTATGTAATTCATTTTAATTGTAAAGATGTAAAATTCAATATATGCAGACTAGCCCACGAAATATATATATTAAAAAAATACTAACATTAAGATATAGGAAGGAAATGGAGAGAGTCATAGAACTACTGGGTTCTCCAAAAATGGGCTTTTAAGTAGGAATGTTTGTTTGAATTTTGCGCAAAGCTACATGAGGGCTATCTATATTAGCCGTGTCTAATTTAGCAGTGAAAGACTAGAGGGAAGGCAGCTAATAATCACCACCCTCCACCAACTCTTGGGCTACTCTTTTTTAGGTAGAAATGTTACAACATAGACTATAACCTAAATGAAATATGTGATCAGGCAGAGTTGAAATAGAATCCAGAACCACAATGAACTGGATTCATGGAGGAACAGTGAAGTGGACCAGTCTCATGGATTCATGGAGGAACAGTGAAGTGGACCAGTCTCATAGGAAATTACATCAAATGAGGATCCAGAAAAAATCAATCTTCTCAGCAGGATACCTCATTGCCCTAGACACCCTTTAACCCTCTCACTCCAGGTACCCTTTACTGAGCATGACACAAGGTTTTAGTGTCTTATATTCAAAATTTTATTAAACTACTTTTTTTTTATATTATACCAATTAGAATAGCATAAAATCTTATTTAGTAATCCATATTTTAATAGTATACAAGTTTTAAGTTCTTAATTCTACAAGGAAATATATAAAAAAAATCCTGAATTTCCACTAGTGTGACCCACGTGACACATTTTGTCTTAGCCTGTTGTCATTCCTATTTTATCCATCACTCCTCGAAAATGTACGAAATTAAACAGAAAATACTCTCTATAAAATTGTTATTGCTCAAACAAACCATAATATTTATAGCCTTCAATTTTGTTTGGTTACAGAGCTATCAAATAGAAAATCAGACCCCTCCTACCACACCCACCTGTCATATCCTCTCTTTCACAATTCATTGATAGTTCTCTCTTACGTTTCCTTATATATTATCTATAACAAACAGAAAGTCAAGGATTTCATCTATCAAATGGCATATTGTATAACGTCGTGTTCTGAACAGAAATCATCAATTTCACTCAGAGCAGCAACATTGTTCCTGTGGGAAAGGTAATGATTAGCTTGGATGAATTTGTAATGGCTCTTGTTGCATAGTTAAAAAGCCAAGAAAAGTTTGAGAGGTAAATGAATTTGTCTACTTTTTGCATGTTATTAGTCTATATTCTTTGGTGTATTATTTACTTAAATACAAATTTTTAAATGCTTTACTATAACTACTATAAAAAATCAGGCTTATCTCTGCTCAGAGTAGCAACATTGTTCCTGTGGGAAAGGTAACAATTAGCTTGGATGAATTTTTAATGGCTCTTGTTGCATAGTTAGAAAGCCAGGAAAATTTTGAGAGGTAAATGAATTTGTCTACTTTTTGCATGTTATTAGTCTATATTCTTTGGTGAATTATTTAATTAAATAAAAATTGTTAAGTGCAATCGAGGGCAAGAAAAAAGAAGATTGAATAAGTATACTTTATTTTTGTTGTTCATAATTAGTCTTTATTTGTTATTATAAGCGTAAATGAATCTTTTTAAGTTATTCAAGACTAGGTTAGGTAAAATAAGTAATAATAATAATATAATTAAAGTGGTTCACGAGGCACGTACGTGAGCAGCTCGTGGGTAATGTAATTCGACAGCGTAACGTGAGCTGCACGTTCAACGAGTGATTTAGAACTTATATTAAGTTATAATGGTGCGGATATTAGTTAAATACCGTTCAAAAGGCAATAAAACATAATTATAAATAGATGTATAATATTACGAACTTGAGCTAATTAGGATAAACGAATGTAGTTTCATGGTAAAACTTGAAGTCA